ATGAATGTATCATACGACTATTGCATTTATCTATCTGGACGGTTACTTTGACTATTTCCGTTAACATCCAAACTATCACTCCTTAATGCAAAGCGTTCGATGTAAGGATATGCTCTCCTTGTTCTCTTTACACATTATAGTTGTAAACAAATACTTATCTGGAAAGCGAGCTGTCCATTCAGTTCTAAAGTATTTCATTCTTAATTGGCCATACAAGGGACATATAAGATAATGCATTTCGTCCTCTACTATGCGAATGTCAAGTATGAGACAATTTTTATATAATGGCCTTTTCCGATCAATAGCCTAGTGCATGACTTGAGAAGCATAAGTTTGATTGCACATATCTTTGTTTGTAAGTCAAAGGTAAGGGAATAGAAGGTATCGCTCAGGCTTCAAAGTGGTTTTCTTGAATTTATAACTGATACATTTAGACGATAAATTAATGTCAGCGAACATAGTTTATTGTGCAAGTCTGCTATTCTAGTTCTAAGTGACTTTAAAAAGTCTCTGCATCTCTGATTTTCCTTAGATATGTTCAAAAATAAGTGGTTTGTGCACTTTTAGGTTTTGTTTTGTTTTGTTTCTTTAAGTCGCATTGACCTCCGCTGGGTTATTTGATTTGGTGGAATCTATTAGGTTATCGCTTCCCAGTCTCTGCTGTTTAAATCATGGCGATGCTCACGGGGTTTGGAAACATTTTACAGAGCTGGAAAATAAATGAAATTGTCCTTAACTGCTGATAGTTTGGCTGAGAGAATGAATGGATATACGTCATTGCTTGATAAATTTTGACATGTGATATACAAAACCAGTAACGCCTCTAGTTCGTCGTGTGACCTGCACAGACTGGAAAACAAAAATCACTGCAAATGTTTGTCCTGTACCAAGATTGAAAGATTTAAATGTTCTTAGATGTATTTCTCGCAGTCTAAATAAATTCTGTAGTATAGTGTAAATACGACAAAAAGAGCCTCACTAATACAAATCAAATCCTGAAATCCTGGGTGATGAAGTGCTGAGAAGTGAGAACGTGATCAACAAATTTTTAGTAACTGCGCTGCGAGTAGCTTTTTATGACGCAAAGCGACGATGGTTCAAAGATGACGCCAGCTTTCAAATATTGAGTGTAAAATACATTAATTATTGTTTTTAGCTCTCCCCATGATATTCTAAAGGGGCAGTTTGAAAAAATGAAAATCATTTAAGAAAAATCATGTTTCGGTGGTCTTCGCCTTATACGCTGAGCAAACGACAGTTACGACACCACTGCCGTTTCCAACAATACATATGTACTGTACATGTGTAAGTACCCCGTACCAGGGCCATAGATTATTTTTCCATAGATATTTACATATATGACTTTAGATGAATTATGGTACTTTTCTGTGCGTTAAAGAAAAGTGCACATAATAAAACCTGCGGCCCTGGGAGAGGATAATGAATAAGCATGGACAAAATAACTTGGTTATTTTGGCCATGGTGTAAGTGAGCGGAAGCAGTACACTGTAATTGCAAGCCAGGCAGTAATTCGTTGAGACACTGTTGACAAGTAACGGTTTTGTTTTAAGATTTATCTTCAAAATGTTAATTAAAAACACTCTTAACTTAATCATAGTCACGTTTATCGGTCAAGGCTAGATAACTTTTTCAGTTACGAGTTAGCACCTGGATAATTTACATACATACTGTGCGATAACTGATTTACCGAAAAAAGGGCAGTTAGGGTGTTTGACCAGGATTATCTGAAGAACCAGGCATGATGACACCGGATAGAAAAAACACGTTTGATAACCACTAGTTAGTAGTAGAAATACAATCTTATGAATAAAGTACAATAATGAATTTATGGGCCCTATTTCTATTTTTAATATGAACTGAACATGCCTGTGTTAATTTACGGACAGCATCGCACGGCCAAATATAAGGAATTTACATAAATGCATTTACTTTAATCATTAAATTATCTTCCATCTTTAGAATGCATTCACTGAGACGTATTTATAATTATGTAAACTAAATTTGACAGCTTGCTTTCATCGTGTCGACCAAGGCCCCTTTTTGTTAGTAGGTTACTGTCGAGATCGGACAGATACCGGATGTAAATCGACCATTTTCGAAGTTTGCAATTAACACAAAGTGAATGAAGTAGTTTATATTTTTCACACCGTGCACGATCGTGCGATAGATAGCATCATCGTCATCCGATGAAATGAAAAATGTCCCGCCCCTCAAAATTTGAGAGATCTTCTTGATAGAACAAACCTGTTGATTTTAATAGTAGTGGCAAGTGTCCTAAGTACTAAGTTAAGGTGATACGGCAGTTTATGCAAGTGTTTGAGACGATTGCTTTACATGTAATAACAGCTATCTTGCAATATCGATATTTACGGGAACATAAATGACAGCTCAATACGATGTAGTGATCAAATTAGGCAACTCGATCAATGCTCTCTGAACTGAAATGACTCACCCTTATCTATGACACGATTGGCCATCGTGTCAGTCATGTACACGTACACTTACGTATTTTTAACGTGACCCCGTAGCTCAATAACCTTCAGGCCTAGCGAAAAGGATGCATTTTTAAAGCTCCATATTTACATAACGAGCTCGAACTTTGAAAATGATTTGGTATGACACATTTTCTGAAGGATGTGCACCGTTCAAGCCATTCTGTTCGTGTGTCGCATTTGCTTTAATAACGATTCTCCAAACGTCTCAAAAGTGTATTGAGTAGTCAAGAAAAGTCAAATTCACTAATTAGTTTTGAATATAAAAACGTATGACTAACTCGATTGCTGTCTGATTTGCTTGGCGAGAAGAACTGCTACAATTAATAATAAACTTGCGCATACTGGTTCTGAACAATGATCTAATGTTATCTTATATCTGAGAACACTTTTGATGAAAAATATATGAAGGCGATAATAAGCTATATAAAGTCCTGCTTCAAAGGCAGAATCTCAAATAAACAATTCCTATTATTTTTAATCAAGATTGATGTAGTACAACCGATTTCTTTTAGGTTCTTGTATAGTTATGTTTGGATGTATGCGTGTGTGTGTGTATGGGGGGGAGGGGGGTAGTTGTCATAAATATAATTTTTAACACATTGCTGGTCTGAGGGGTAACAATCTCTTTCTCCAAAGAAAGACGCAGATGATTTAGAAATAAATCATTTTAGTGGTCCAACCTTTTGTATATAACCAATTGTCTCAGATGACACTTTTATTCAACACCAAACACTACAAACCCCGCGAAACATTGAACTACAATGAGCAAAACACTGAAGTGCAAGAAAAATCCTCTTTGGGTCGCTTCCATCACTGAATATTTGATGGATATTTTGCTTGAAGTCTGAACCTCTCAAGCTGACATTTCACCAAGAGATGTAGTGTGCGATATAGATCCTCAACACCTATGATTTATGGTAATTATGGTTTATTGTTAAAGGTTGCCACAAGCTTCATCTATCTGTCCGAAAATCTTTTCGCGACTAACAAAGGCGTCACCCCATGTTCGCATTCGTTCGCTACTATTACATGCCGCCGTCATCGCTGCGGGGTACTCCCTTGCAGAAAAGGTTGGAATGAGGGTAGATTCAGTGGCCACTGTTTACAGTGCCATTAGCTTCCTTGCCTTTGTTGACGATTGCACGGATTCGGCCAGGTTTCAACTGGCTTCCTGATCGAATTTAGGGAAAACGGGGCGCATGGGCCTTTCGTGCATTCAGATAGTGATTTGGATATAAGGACATTTGGCCGAGAAACTAACCGATGGAAAATGTCGACTTTTAGTTCCGCTCACTCCTATATGTCACCGTAAGTATTGCTGCTGATTCATTTCTTAAAAGAGCAAAATTGTGTTCATTGTGAAATATTTTTTTTGTCTATGCTGTATGTAATGCACTGGACAGTTTAAAGTTTTTAAATTTCCCTTATTTTCGGATACCTTGAAGATTGTCTCTTGCTTGTAAATGTTAAATACTGTTCAGATATCAAGTGACCGAAAACTTCATTTCAGTCCTCGTGGTGATTCCGTGCATGACGACCTACAGTCTGAACATCCTCAAAGTTCCGACATTGAAACACCAAGGGCAGTCCACGACTCCCAAGAAGAGCACCCAAGTGAGTCAGAGAGTCCAACACATCACACAGACCCCTCATCGAAACACCGGCGGTTTTACAGTCTCAACTACGCGCCGACATTTATACCAAATCCATTTCCTCATAGGAACACATATAGTACGAGGAAAGGCTACCGGTCTTCCGTGATTCTGAACCCCATTTACGAGGAGGGAACGCATGGCAATGACTTAAGGTATGGGGAGGAAATATACTTTGGCCGACCTAGTGGGAGTAATACCTACTCTAGAGGTTTCATTTTTCATCACGATGAGGACGAAAGGGCGTCGTATCGCACGGCAACGCCCGACTACAGTCGCTACAGTGGGATGCGACCAGAAAGTTTAGAATCTTTCCCGTACTATACTTGGTCTTCTAGAGCTTCTAGTTTTCAACGACCAATAGTTGTACCTCCTGTTGTCATAACAGCGCCTCCCAAAGATATGCCATGGCAACCGCCGCACATGCCTTTTTTCTTCAAGTGCCCGCCTCCGAAACCTGCAAGCTACATGTGGTTTGCCATTATAGTGGCCATGGTCTTCAATGTACTGTTTGGATTGATAGCAATTCATTTTTCGCGTAAGTATATTGCAATAAAAGTCCGTATATATCTATTTTAATGCCAATTTTATTTAAGTAAGAATTTAACGAATGTTATTTTCATCGCCGTAGAGTAGACAGCGACGTCAGCTGACGTAGCAGGGTTAGCAGGGGTGATATTTTTGGAGAGGAGAAAAAATAACAAACCACTTTTGAAAGTTCACTGGTTTTACTATCTCACATGATAAAAATCTTTTAGTGACATAGTGCTTTACACAAATTATACCATTACACGGGTATAAAACTAGTCGGATTTCAGTGTTGACATTAGAATATTTGTTGCTTTGAGCTCAGTGTACTTGCCTTAACATCTCTGACGGGGACCGTGTTTTTTTTTCTTAATCAAAGTTTCTAGTAAACAGAACCCTGGGGAATTCTTTTGGGTCTTAATATCTAGGAAAATTCGAATATGGCAAAAAAAAATTAATGTTTTCTTTAGAAGTTATTTGCAACTCGAGTGACCTTGTTGCTTTGTCCCAATATGATATTACATAGACATTTGTCCTGTTTGTGGCACTTATTTTTCAAATGTTATGTATTTTGCAACTATTCATGATTAGTATCATTTATAAAATTGATTAAAGAAGAATTCGAAAGCACACGCTTAGGCCTACATACTTTTTCCCAGGGAGTTCATTTCAAAAAGAGATAACACGAATACATGTAGATAGGCTAGTGAACCGTGCCTCACCCAGTTTTAGAGGGAGGGGCTACGAAACTAAAATACAATCTTTGCAATTTTGTCTACATCATACACATGTCGTACACCGGACGCTTGACCCATAACGTGGCCTCACTTTACCGCGAACATCCTAATGTGATTTATCTTTGTGACTGCGGTTGGATGGGCGGATGTGGGGACACGCCCTTACATGGATTTGTTGGAGAACGAAATTTTCACCCCTTCAAAGTTGGGACAACGACAGTATTTGGTAGTCAACATCAAATTCATCCATCAGTGTTACTGGATTAT